CTTCATGATGTCTTCATCTTCACATGTCATATTTCAATAGATCGTCCTCTTCTTTAGTGGGGTAGGATGATTGCCACTCTATGAGCCTCATCCCTTCGCAGTCCCCATCACACGCCCTCTGTCTCTCAAGAGCAGCCACCCGTTCTCCCTGCCAACTCCGACACAGCCCAGGATCCCTCTCAGACACCTCCCATGCCATGGGGTATAGACTCTGCTTCCTGTAATCCGTAATTTTTTGGATTAAGAATTGCTAATGTTGATTTTCCAAATATGGTTGGCAAAGATTAAAACCCACTATCACTATTTCATAATAGAAAGCCAGGGGCGCTGCTCCAAATGAAGGCCATTATCAAACCTGAGAGGTGCCCTCTGCTGCATTCTTGTAAAACCTGACCCTCCAGGCTGAATCCAGGGAGTGACATTTGAGACCCACAGTCCTACATGTGTGACGTCCCAAGACTCTGTTAGGACAGCTCTGGGTTCCTCCCCAAAGCCCCAGCCCTGAAAATCTGCTCATCCTCACCTCTACTCTGGCTGAGTAACCATCCTGTAACTTACTCAGGCCTGGGTTGGAATTCTGTTCTTTCCTCCCCACTGCGGCCTCACCCCAGCCCTCAGCAAGTCCTGCCTTGCCTCTCGCAGGCATCCTGAGTCTCCTGTGAGCCACCTCCCGGCCACTGCACAGGCTCAGGTCACTGTCCTCCCTTTCCTGGACAACTGCAATGTTCTTCTGACTGTTTTCCACCCTCCCATTCTCACTGACTAAAAGACTGTTCTTTCCCTGTGGCCATGCCAGCCTTCTAATAATATAAAAGGTATTCTGGTCCTGTCCTGGTAAAAACCTTTCAAAGGCTTCCCATCTCACTTGGAGAAAAACAGAAATTCTTCAGCGCAGCATGTAAGGTCTGGGAGGAATGACCATCCCAGTCTGCTTACGCCTGCTGGTCCCTCGCTCAATCCAGAAGCTTCCACAGGTTAGGATCATTTCTACCTAAGGGTGGGTTTATGAGCTTCTTTGCATTAAACACTCCTCTTGTTGGCTTTCTAAAGCTGGAGACTTCTCCTCCTTAAAAGTCCAGCTCATGTGTTATCTCCTCCAACTGATCCTTCCCGATCATTCTCTGCAGTTAGGATTTTACCTGGCCAGCTCACATGTTATCTCCTCCAACTGATCCTTCCCGATCATTCTCTGCGGTTAGGATTTTACCTGGCCAGCTCACGTGTTATCTCCTCCAACTGATCCTTCCCGATCATTCTCTGCGGTTAGGATTTTACCTGGCCAGCTCACGTGTTATCTCCTCCAACTGATCCTTCCCGATCATTCTCTGCGGTTAGGATTTTACCTGGCCAGCTCACGTGTTATCTCCTCCAACTGATCCTTCCCGATCATTCTCTGCGGTTAGGATTTTACCTGGCCAGCTCACGTGTTATCTCCTCCAACTGATCCTTCCCGATCATTCTCTGCGGTTAGGATTTTACCTGGCCAGCTCACCTGTTATCTCCTCCAACTGATCCTTCCCGATCATTCTCTGCGGTTAAGATTTTACCTGGCCAGCTCACGTGTTATCTCCTCCAACTGATCCTTTCTGATCATTCTCCGTAGTTAGGATTTTACCTGGCCATCTCACATGTTATCTCCTCCAGTTGATCCTTCCCAATCATTCTCTGTAGTTAGGATTTTACCTGGCCACCAGTTCGTTGAAGGCAGTATTGTTTTCATTTCGTTCTCTGTAACGTGTCTGTGCTTCTCACAGTCCTTGGAATGCAGAGGACACTTGGTGTGCACACCGGATGAACAGGCCTTTATGGGCGTGTCAGGGACTTTCCCAGTGTGGATAAGATGGTTCCATGGCAGCACCCATGAGGTTACGATGACTCTAGGACTACTTGTTAGAACTGCCATTTCCAATGGCTAGAGTTTTAATTACCTTTGGATCGTTTGAAAAATAGTAAAATCTTAACAAGGGAATATCAAAATGCAATTGGGGAAAGATAAGAAATTACCCTGGGGGAGGGTGGCAGGAAGCACAGGGGGTCCCAGAGGAAGCGTCCTGGAACCGGCACAGCCTCCAGAGCGACACTGTCACCCTTTCTCCAGGGCTTCTCTGCACCACGCAGTTTGGCAAGAACCTCGTACACATCATCGTTTTGTTCTTCACATGGCCCCAAAATATAGAGATTCTTTTGCTGCTGAGAAGATAATTCCTGGCATACAACGGGCACACCACAACCTTATACTGACTGAATGTACGGAGGTGTCCCATGTCCACTCCTAAGAAGAGGAGGTAGCTGGAGAGTTCCAGGATCCCGGGCAGAGCTCAGCAGTGATGAGACCACAGTATGGTGTCTGACACTATTTGTTGCAGGCTCCTTGTCTGAAAAACAACGCATTTCATAAAGATGGTTGGAGAATCCATTCATTAATTCAACTAATCCCTTACTGAGCCCTGTGCTGGCGCCGGGACCAAGGGAAGCAGAGAGGCATGGGCAGGGCAACTGATAGACACCCCCTTCTTTCCTTCTCCGCCTGCGAGTCTCATGAGAAGAGGGTGCCTTGGAATAGGGTGTGCCCACTGGTAGGAAGCGGAGGAGGTAAAGTGAGTGCATCACCAATGTGATGCTACCCTAGGAAATGCCACAATGCTGCTGAGCTCCCACTGTCATAACAGATGCTGCCGTGGAAACCCAGAGACCTCCCAGAACAGCAATGAGGGGCTCCAGGGGAACGCAAGAGCTGCTGAATGAATGCGCCAGGCTCATCAGGGGACCCGTAGTGGGCAGCTCGCAGGCTCCTGAGGGATTGGAGCCTCGTCCAGATGCATGCAGGCAGTCTTAAACACACATGCACAGTCTCGTGCAAGAGTCTATAGTACAGAGAGAACCTGCTGTATTTCCCAGTAGTGAACTTCCTCAAAAGCACAGAATTCTTTACATTTATGAAAACATCTAGAAAAACTCTTTGCAGGATGCGAAAGATCTAAAACGGGGTTTGCAAACCTGCACTCAGCACAAATGTGGCTATGAATTAATATATGCTCCTAATTAAGTTTTCAAAGATTCCCTGAAAAATACATTGAACTTACTCTATTATACAAGAGCCTCCATTCAGAGATACAAATGCACGTAAGAATATTCATTAAAACATAAAATACTTGCAATAAAAATCTCATTAATTCTCTTCCATCTTTCCTAGATGATTCTGTTCCCCGTCCCCTTTGTGTTTTGTGGGAAAGGGCTAACGAGTATCAGCAACCATGAGAAAGAGTGTCCTTGAAGATAAACTGGGAAACAGCGATCTAGAATAATTTTCCACTTTCTGGGAGTTCTAGTACAGAGAAAGCAAGGAAATGTATTGATGATAATGGAATTAAGGTTCATAATTGTCACATGCAGAAAGGAGAAGACTGGAGAGAATCTCACTGCACTGGATTTGGGGTCAGTATTAACTCGGAGTTTCTAACACATGAGTAGGTAATATAACCATAGCTGTCTACGTGAGGGTTGTTTTTATGTGTGTTCTGCAGCACTGTCCCACTGACAAGGCTAAGAACACAGTTCCTCCACCTCCGCACTGTGGGCATTTGAGACGTAAGAATTTGTTTTCCGGAAATTGTCCTGTGCATTGCAGAATGCGGATCAGCACCCCTGCCCTCTCCCTAAACGCCAGTAGCACCTGCCTCACAAACTGGAACAGTCAAAAACATCCCCAGACATGACCAGACATGCCCTGGGAAGTAAAGTTGCCCCAGGTTGAGAACCACTGACCAAGGCCTGGCAGCATTCCAGGAACGGAGAGCACAGGCGGCACGCGGGCACTACTTTCTAAATTCACTGCAGGTTCCAGCCACTGACTTTAGGCTTGGATCAGGGAAAGTGAAACGTAAATCTGGAACTTCTGATAATATCAGAAAGTAAGGACAGGCTCAAATAATGATGGAAATATGGGAAGAGGACAAAGGAAGCAGCTTGAAGGGGCTCCCACTAGCCTACTCTGAGGTAATTTTAACATTCTAATAAACAACGCAATAGAGTCTAACTCACTGAGTAAAATACGAAACTACGAGTCACATGGATCTATGGAAAAACAGATGACAACAGAGAGATAGATAGATAGAGAGATAAAAGAGGAAGTTTTCCTTGCAGCAGAATAAATGCCATTTATCAGTGTTGAAAAAATGAAGTTAGGGATACAATTTGCAAGCAATCATATAACAACGGATTCAAACAGACACTACTATTGTGTGCTGAAGCTAGAACGCGAATGTGGAAATCTGGTGAGACAGACACAAATGTGTATTTCAAAGTATTGCTCTGAGAAATACTTATCAATTATAAAGGGGGGAAATTCAAGTGTAGTGGAGAGACCTGTCAGACGCCGTCTGAACCTGAGATCAAAGTGTCTGTCAGCAGTGGGAGAGACTGAGAAACACAGCGTCACATCTGTAATTCTCCGAAAATGTGCGTGGTCTGAATCTAGTCCATTGACAAACCCCATGAAGGACATTTTACAAAATAGCCAGTTATCTTCAAAAATGACAAGATCGCAATGAGAAGAAAGACTTATAAACTGTTTCTGACCAGAAGAGACAGAGGCGGCCTGGCAAGGACCCGGCATTGGTGAACTGCAGACGACAGAGCAGACGACAGTGTGTGCCGGCGCCAGTGCCGTGATTCTGCTCGCTGCGCTGAGGCTGTGCTAGAGGACATCCTTGGCCTCGGGGGAAACACAGGAGAACGTCTAAGGACCAAGGGAGTCATGCCGGCAACTGGCTCTGAAATGGCCAGGAAACCCCATGACAGTGTGTTCATAGAAACACAGGGAAAAGCACGTGAAGGCGGGAGGGCCTGGCTGTGTCCAAAGCTCTTTAGATGACTCTTGCTGCTTCTTGTAAGTTAGACGTCACTTCAAACCTACGATTAAAAAGTTTATTATTACTTCTTTTCTAATGATTATAAAAAAATAAACTTACTTCATTTTTCTATATTTATTAATGGCATTTTTTTACTGCAAGGAAGAACTTTTCTCCTTTATCTATGTCTGTCTGCCCATCTATCTGTTAGGCATCTATTTCTCCACAGAGCTATATGACTCGTGGTTACTTATTTTATTCAATGAGTTGTAATCTGTTACTGTCGTTTATTTGAATGTTTAAATTATCTCAGTTGGCCAGTGAGAGCTCCTTTAAGCTGCCTTCTGTGTCCTCCTGACATACTGTCATCATCTTTTTATCTTTTACAAAAAATTAGAAATACAGCAAAGTGCTGCCTCCGCACTGAGACCCGGCCCCACCCGGCAGGCACAGGCCTGTGGGCTCAGCTGGTTGGGAGGTCGAGGCTCATGCTTCCCAGCCCAACATGGATTTCCCAGCCAAGCCAAAGCACCATGAAGCTGCAGGCCGGCTGGTTACTAAGGATGCGTGTCAGCAGTGTCCACACCCTGCACTGTTCCTTGGAACACAGAAACGGGGTGTGAGCCAGCAGAGACTGGGGCACTGGAGAGAATGCAGGTGCAGAGGCTGAGGATGAAGGGCCCTCCACTTGCCCCAGACGTGTTGCCTCACAAGGGATAGCCACGTTCCCCACCCCTCACTCTGCCTGCACCTCCATCAGCAACACAGGGGAGGTCACTGCTGTTTCCCAACCCCCTTCTTCAGTTTCCTCCTGGGTTTTCACATAAGCCCCCTCCCACACATGCACAGCCCCATCAGGATAGGGCTGTGAGTCTGGTACCACATTGCCAGTAATGGGTAGAGGCGGGAATGGAGGTAGAAGGGGGTAAATTCTTCATCGGGAATAACACAGTGATCAATGGATCACAAACTATAGGCCTAAAACGGACTTTCTGAAGCCGTGGCCTTTGGCTTGTTCATTTGTACAGAGAAGAAAGAGAGGTCCCAGAAAGGGAGCTGCCTGCACTCGGAGGACTCCTTCTTAGAAGCCAAAACTTCCCAGGCATCCCACCATGGAACAAAGGAGACAGACACGTCAGCCTTGATTATAGGAGTTCAGCCAACCGCAGCCGCACAAAATCCACAGGCTTCCTGGGTGCTCATGTGCCATGTCACAGCAGTGTTTTTCCAAGATTTAGAAAGGTATGGCAGGATGGATGGACCACTGGCTCCCTCGCCGGAAGTGAAGTAGCCACGCCCCCTGCCACGCGGCTACAGCACCTCTCTTCAGAAAATGCAGAGTAGACCCCCACTGCTGTTGGGCATGGTCACGGGTCTTGCTTGGCCCGTAGAATGTTAACGCATGTGACAAGCACTCTGACCTTAACCCTGCACGTGTGAGAGCCTGGTGCCCTCTGAGCCTCAGTGAGAAAAACCTGGCCCGGACAGGCACTGCCCCTGCAGCATGGGCCCCAGTATGAAGACAGAAGCCAAGCCAGCACCAGACCCGCTGAGCCCCAGCTCAGGTGCAGCCTGCAGAGCATGACAGGGACAGCTTTTTGCTGCCAGCCCCCAAGATGCTAAGGTTTTTCCTAGGGAACAGCAGCTGACTAATACATGAGTTATCCCATTTTCCATGGTACATCTTCTCTACTCTTAACCAAGGGAGCCGTTGGCTGCCCCCGTAACAATCTGTGTTCCATAGCAAGTACTTACGATGGTTGTTACAAGGACTAGAAACAAGAGCTTTAAATATTTCCTTCTGCTCAGGCACTGGAGAGAATGCAGGGGCAGAGGCTGAGGATGAAATGGCTCATGCCTGTAATCCCAGCACTTTGGGAGGCAGAGGTGGAAGGATGGCTTGAGCCCAGGAGTTTGAGATCAGCCTGGGCAACACAGCAAGACACTGTTTCTACTAAAAATTTAAAAAAGTCCGGCATGGTAGTCCACACCTCTAGCTCCAGCTACCAGGGAAGCTGAGGCGGGAGGATCACTTAAGTCTGGGAGGTCAAGGCTGCAGTGAGCTGTGACTGCGTCACTGCACTCCAGCCCAGGAGGCAGAGCGAACCCGTCTCCAAATAAATAGTTTCCTTTTGGCAAATCCTAAATGCGCATTTCTCAGATTCAGAGGACAGCATTTAACTCTCTCCAGGCAGATGAATGAACCCTGTGCTTTCCTCAGTCCGCCACTTCCTCTGCTCCACTCATCAAACACTCTTTGTTTCATGGATGATGTATTGCCCGATTCTAGACTCTAACTCTAAACAGGATGTGTTGTAATATTTTCTTCTGACACCTGTAGCTGTGGATAGGACTTGGGAACTTCGTCCAAGGTCTCCAGCACACGCAGGCAGCTGTTGTCCTCACATATCCCAAGAGAATTCTGGTGTTGCTTTAAGTGTTTTACTCTCTTCAGAGGACCTGAGTGTTAGGAGATAACAAATGGGGAAAAGAACTTGAGTTTCAAAAAAATGAAACCAAGAAAAAAAGTTGATTTTTACCAGGATTGCAAGAATAAGAATCCCATAGCAGGGCTTTGCAGAGGAGCGTTTAAACACACTGCTTAAAAATCATGTAGCGCACAAGCCAGATCAGAGATAACAGAAATTACAGAGAAACTGCAAACCAGAAACACACCCTTCTTGGCTCTGCTTACTTCCTCCTCTGGGCTTCCAGTGTCCAACGTTATTGGAGGGTCCCTCTGCAATCGCAACCGTCTGGAATAAACAGAGATGGGCCGGGGATTTGCTTTCCACTGTTCCAATGCCTGGGAGATGAGAGAAAAATAGCCAGAGCAGAGTAGGCTAAGTGCAGTGTGCAAAACACATCAGACCCAGGGAGATGTGAGGATGGGGCTTCAGCCAGGTCCTCCCCACCCTCGGCTGGGGGCATTCTATTCCTGATGACCTCTCCCACCCATTATCTTCCCAATCCAGGAAATAAGCCCCGCCAATCTACAGCATATGTTATCTTAATGTAAATTCTTGGTAAACAATTTAGAAATGCCCTCTGTTTTCTTTAAAAACTCACTTGCAACGCTGCTGAGTGGAGCACATCTTCAGGGCAGTTTGAATCTCTGCTACTAAGTTGCTGTCTTCACATTTGGCCCACATAAACGTTCTATTATATTAATTTTGCCTGAGTTTTTTCTTTCACGTCCCCACCGTTGGCTGGCCAGGGATGTTGCGATCTCACCACGGGGCTGAACCACAGCTGGATTCTAATTAGATCACATGGAACGATCAAGGTCAGGGTTCATGTTAGGTCTCAGGGCAGCCAGTTCAAACAAGTTCTGAATTCTGAAGACCCTGTGAAGCCTCTGTCCACCCAGCTCACAATGGAGACAAATCCCAAAGCTTCCACAGTTTTCCCAAAATCCAAGCTCTTCCAAGGACTTGCATTGCCCAAGCCTAACATTCAGACATTTATATAAAGATAAGCAAGAAGCCAGAGGCCAGAGAATGGAGGAGGGCAGGCCAGGTGGAAAAGGCCACATAAGAGTGGCCTCACCCCACTGGGGACACAGTGTACACTGAGAAGGCCCAGGCCAACCGGCCTTTTATGAAGGCATGTGTGTGTGTGTGTGTGTGTGTGTGTGTCTATGTCTATGTCTATGTGTGTGTGATGGTTAATATGATCAACTTGATTGAACTGAAGGATGCAAAGGAATGTTCTTGGGTGTGCCTGTGAGGGTGCTGCCAAGGGAGATTAACATTTGAGTGGGTGGACTGGGAAAGGCAGACCCACCCTCAATCTGAGTGGGCACCATCTAATCAGCTGCCAGCATGACCAGAATAAAAGCAGAGAGAAGAACATGGAAAGACCAGACTGGCTTAGCCTCCCTGCCTACGTATTTCTCCCATGCTGGATGCTTCCTGCCCTCAAACATCGAACCCGAAGTGCTTCAGCTCTGGGACTCTTAGACCTTCTACCCCAGACTGAAGGCTGAACTGTCGGCTTCCCTGCTTTCGAGGTTTTGGGACTCCGACTGACTTTCTTGCTCCTCAGCTTGCAGGCGGCCTACTGTGAGGCTTCACCTTGTGACCACGTGATTCAATACCCCTTAATAAGCTCTGGTTTATGTATACATCTATCTTATTAGCTCTGCCTCTCTAGAGAACCCTAATACGATGTGTGTGTATGTGGTTTGTGTATGTGTGTATATGTGTGTGTATGTCTGTGTGTGTGTCTGTGGTTTGTGTATGTGTGTATATGTGTGTGTATGTCTGTGTGTATGTGGTTTGTGTAGGTGTGTATATGTGTGTGTATCTGTATGTCTGTGTATGTGGTTTGTGTATGTGTGTATATGTGTGTGTATCTGTATGTCTGTGTGTGTGTATATCTGTATGTGGTTTGTGTATGTGTGTATATGTGTGTGTATCTGTATGTCTGTGTGTGTGTATATCTGTATGTGGTTTGTGTATGTGTGTATATGTGTGTGTATCTGTATGTCTGTGTGTGTGTATGTCTGTGTGTATGTGGTTTGTGTATGTGTGTATATGTGTGTGTATCCGTATGTCTGTGTGTGTGTATGTCTGTGTGTGTATGTGGTTTGCGTATGTGTGTATATGTGTGTGTATCTGTATGTCTGTGTGTGTATGTGGTTTGTGTATGTGTGTATATGTGTGTGTCTGTAAGTCTGTGTGTGTATGTGTGTGTGTCTGTGTGTGTATGTGGTTTGTGTATGTGTGTATATGTGTGTATCTGTATGTATATGTGTGTGTCTGTGTATCTGTATGTATGTGTGTGTATGTCTGTGTGTGTGTATGTGTGTGGCAGGCCAGGTCTCACTAGCAGCTGAATAGGCAGGCCTCCGTAACAACTGTTTCAGCACTGACTAAATGGGTAAGTTAAATATGAAAAGCTAAGAGAGCCAGTGCCCTTATACAGAGGATGGACTGTAGCAAAAACCCACCAAGAGTTTTACTCAGGCCTTTCCTGGGCCTTGAAGCATGACAAGATAACGAAGGAATTCTTCACAGGACCCGTTGAGGATTAAACAAGTTTTTATTGGGGTCTGAAGAAACTCCCCAGACTTCCACAAACAAGTTTATTGGGGTCTGAAAGAACTCCCCAAACCTCCATGATTTAGCAGGAGACAAGATAAGGGTAATCACCCCGCACCAGGACCCACCTAGATTAAGTGAATGTCCTGAGGCTCCAGAGGAAGGTCTTCAGGGCTCAGACCTCAGTTATAGATTAGAAGAAGTTAATCACTTATGTCTTTAGATAAATATGCACTTACGCACAGACATACAGCTTAGAAGTTATACAAGCTCTGGGAAACTTTGCAATGTTGAGTGGGTCTGGATATTTTCCAGGCCTTCTCCCTGTACCGGTTACAGAAATAAACTCTTCTGTAAACTTCATATTTCATCTGCATCTGGTTACTGGGCTGAGAGAAAGAGCAGCTCCACCCTTGGCTTGATCCAGGAACATGTGTGTGTGTCTGTTTGTATGTCTGTGTGTGTATGTGACTGTGTGTGTGTATGTCTGTGTATGTGTCTGTGTGTGTATGTGTCTGTGTGTGTGTCTGTGTGTATGTGTATGTCTGTGTGTCTGTGTGTGTGTCTATGTGTGTATGTCTGTGTGTGTATGTGTCTGTGTGTGTGTGTCTGTCTGTGTGTGTGTCTGTGTGTGTCTGTGTGTGTCTATGTGTGTATGTGTGTGTGTCTGTGTGTCTGTGTCTGTGTGTGTCTGTATGTCTGTGCGTGTGTCTGTTTGTGTGACTGTGTATGTGTCTGTGTGTGTCTGTGTGTGTGTCTGTGTGTATGTGTCTGTGTGTGGCTGTGTATATGTGTCTGTGTGTGTCTGTGTGTGTGTGACCTTAACTCCCTGCCCAATTGGCATTTCCTAAACCATTAATTATAACAGGGCTATGGGAAGTTCTCATCAAGCAATGGAGCCATTCCATGTTGGATTTTGTCACTGAAGGTGTTAGCCTCTTAATTTTTATTTTTACACAAGTAAGTTCCAGGTAAAATTTTTATTTTCACACAAGTTCCAGTAAGTGGTTAGTAGCTGTTCACTTTCATGACAAGATCATTCGGCCCCTGCTGCTGGTACTATTAACACAATCCTTGCCCCAGACTGATGAGTTGGAAATGTAAAATGCGCAGTAGGTGCCAGGGAAATCTCCTCTCCCCTTTCGTTTGTTAGCTCTAAAATCTCTGGGCATTTCTGTGGCATCGATTTGTCAATGTCAGTGAGCAGGTAGGTTTCCTTAGATCACACATCAGAGCATGTTGTGATGATTGGATTGGTTGGTACCCCGACACTGTCTGCAGAGGAAATCCTGGTGAATTATCGGTATGCCCAGCAGCTAACTTGGGGGTATTCATGATCTTCTGTTAATGGAAGCACAGTAGGGCTAGCGTTTGAAGACACAGATTCTCCTGGCACAGCCACCCTCTTGGACTTAGTATACCTGGGTCTCAAGCAGGCAGAGCCAGGCCTTCCTGGACGTATGACATCCAGCAAAGCGATACTTCATCGGAAAAGATACTTGTTAGATTACGTAATACACACTCATAAATAATGCTCTGGGAATCACATACCAAATGACATGAAGTTGTGTTCTAAATAGATATTTATGATGGCAGTAATGTTATTTTATTATACTAAAAATTACTAGGAATCCCACAGGTTCCTGAATCAGCAGTTAGGAATTGAAAAAGAAAGGAAAGTAATCAGTGCTGTCTTTTATACCTGTAATGGAATTTTTTTAAAGGTGAGAAGCAGAGTACATTCCAGGGTGTTGACTAAAAGTAACTGAAACCAAGTCTAATTGCCTTTGGAGAGGAAAAGATTCATTTGAAAGGAAGTAAGGTGGTTCACAAGCCTATGCGAACCTAGATGACAAGGCTTGGCAAATCGGCGCAGACTGTGTGGGCGTGCCGCTGCGGCAGGACTGAGGTCACACTTAACACCTCCCTGGTGAGCAAGCTGCAGCCCTGCCACCAGCGACATGGGTTAGGAACAACCACCAGGCCTTCCAACACCACTGCCTCGCACCTGGACATGGCGTTTTCCCTCTCCTGGCACACTGTCCTGTCTCTTTATGTAACTGATACCCAATTTAAAATCCAGAATTGGAACATCTGATTGGCTGACCCAAAGACAGGTGTCATGCCCCACCTTCTGGGACCAGGAAGACAAGTGTCTGGCTTCCTCGGCTTCCATAAAGGGGAGGCTCTGACTTTTTCCACAACAAGCAAAAGGGAGGATCTGAGAGAAGAAACCTGTTTAGATATGACATTGGCCCCCAAAATTGAACATTGAAGCTGTAGATGTCCAGTTCAGAAAATCGGAATAAAATATTTCATTTGGCTAAGGATCTGCAATGTTAAAGATTGCCTCACAAGCATAAGTTTGTAGAAAGGTCACTGGGCTACTCGGAAAGGATTATTTTTTCTCAATGCATTTCCAAGAGGTAACTCCACTACACTTAAAACAACTGGAGCCTTCAGAGTCATTAGTCATTCTAAGGCATGACTTTCATGCTACCATACCAAACGTATGCACACATTTTGTGTTGTGGAGCCAAACAGATTCTTCGCTTCTGCGTGTTAAGGGTTGCAGGTAACATGGGACTGGGCATTCTGCCCACTGGAATTCATCTGTAGCCGTGTGTTCCCATTTTTCACGTAAATTTCCATTTACCCGCTAATGCCAGGGTAGCCGAGCAAGAAAACCAGTAAATCTTCCAACGGGAAGCACTCCAGACCTCGAGGGCTGAGGGGAGGAGCTGACTCAGCACCAGCGGTGCCACCGCTCAGCCTGGCACCTGCCCTCCAGGCCCTGGCCCTCAGAGCGGCCCCTGACCAGCAACAGCAGCCTCCCTGGGAGCCTCAGACATGCAGAGCTCAGGCCCAGCGGGAGCTACCGAATCAGAACCTGCAGTGACACACCCCTCAGCCCAGAGCCTGTTTGTCGCTGGGTTCCGTGACCCTGTGCTGCTGGCAGCCCGGGGTTAGGCCATCTCCTTGTCACCTTGTGACGATGAAGCCTAGTTTCCTCCAGTGAGATTGTGAGTACACCGGGACTCCACAAAGAGCCTTTCATCGAATCACACAATTTCCTTTCCTCTTCTCTGGGATTTATCTCCAAAGAAGCCCTCCAGGGGTAGGTGGCCAAAGGGAGGGGCAGTGCCTGCCTTTGCTGAGCGAGCTCCCAGCCCCTCCCGGGCAGGCCTTTCTGCCCAACTCTGAGTAGTAGGACCCCTTTCCTGCTGGCGCCTCCCCACCCGAGACCATCCTGCCGTAGGTGGGCACAGGGCGGCGCCACCCCATTGGCGGCGGGAAGTGAAAAATGGAAGGAGAGCGGGACTTCCTCCGCGCGATGGGGG